AAATTTCATAAACGGCGGCCAGTCTCTTGCCAAGTGACTTTTGCTGCAGCACCCCGCTCCACCACTTGAAGCCACGCCCCCTTTGGGGTGGCGCCCCTGGGACATTCGGGTACATTTTGGGACATTTAAGCCGCGCTGCAGCGTGTTGCATACTTTTGGCCGCTTTTTGACAGCCAAGCCAGCGGGAAAAATGGCGCAAACATCAAATTGCAAACCGAAAATGCAGAATGACCAGCCACCACTTCTTACAACGTTTACTTTCCATCAGCATAATGCACAGCAGAGCAGCGCGGAGAGCGGTCACTTCAAATGCAATGAACAAATTAATAAACAACTACACATAGCAGCGTGTCACCAGTTTAATTGCCCAAAGAGGATACGCGCACAAACATGTCGCACAGTTGGGCTCAAGTGAATAGTGTTGCATAGCGTCAAATGGTTCAAGAGCTATGCATGTTTTATTACAAAAGTAGGGAATTATATATTGCATGCTTAGGATTTTTCCGAATGACTTCCCTCATAATTAAGCGGTTCATTTGGAACTACCTTAGCTGAAGTACTATATACTCTACTTCACTTATTTTGATAAAGTGTTGGGTAATTCTTAAGAATATTTCCCCACACTGTGATGTTAAGATACAATATTATAAGGTACAGATCTTCACTTAGTAAATACATATATGAAAAGGAAATAGATACTTAAAATGGGAATTATTTAACACCAGCACTATTATATCGCTGACAACTGTAGGCAGGTCCCACTTTACACCCCCCCCCCCCCCCCACATTCTTTTGACAATGCTTTCAAATTTAGTTTTTGGCGCGCTTTTTTCTGTGTGTTTGGAGGCTGGCTTTGGCTTCTTTTGGCCACCTTTCTATTTTTTTGTTGTTTTTTTCGTGTTTTCGGGTTGTTGTTTAACACACAAAAAGAATTTTTAACTAACACAAAATGGCTGTGTGCTGATTTCTGTGAGTATAGAGGGGGCGTGGCTGGCGGAGGCGGCACGAATGTTCATACTCTCGGGCTTTCCGGCTGGGGATTAGTGCGTTATTCGGTTTCATCGCACCCTTTTGCCGAAAGTTCAATTGCAATCTTGTTGCTGCCGTTGTTCTTGTTGTTGTCGTGGTTGTTGTTATCGTTGTTACCGTTGTTGGGGTAAATATACACCACGAAACAGAAAAACGCAGATTGTTCACTCGCCGACTCTTTTCCCTCAAGCCTGCACAGCGAAAAAATATGCATATTCAATCAAAATGAGCAGCGGAAAACTTTCAGCACAAAGTGTTCTCAAGATTCTGGAAAAGCAATCAGTTTCTTTTCCTGACCAAATGTTAAATGACCTCGTTTTTAAATTTCACATCGAACGGCTAAATATATAAACTATAATTTTTTGGAAATACATAATTAAAAATTCAAAACTTAGAAAAATCATTAGCTGTACAAAAAAGGTAGTTTACTTGACTCTGTCGCCATTTTTAGCCAAAAAATACTTAGGGGAAAAACTCTTCATAACGATAAAATATTTAGCAAGTCCTTTTTCAAATTATCCTTTGAAAAATAATAAATATATTGACCCCAACGCAATAAATGGCAATAGTTAGGCACAGCAACATGAAAAGCAATAATAGTGATTTGTAGTATTTTTTATGGCATTTCTACCATGCACTGCCCATTTTCTTCGAGTGCACGCATGTCCTGCATTTCCTGTCTGCTGCCTTCTGCTTTTTGCTTCGCCTGCTGCTACTGCTGTGTCTTTTTTCCTGCCGTCGTTTTTCGGTGTGCGTTTGGTTTATTAATGTTGACCGTCAATTATGTTTTAATTGTCATAAAAGGTTTGTCCCTTTTGACTCACTCCCCCCGCACAAGCGGGGGATAAAGCTGTGTGTGTGTGTGTGTGTGTGTGGCCAGGATATCTCCTGCATACGTGTACAAGTTCCTATGTGTGTGTGTGAGCGAGCAGAGTGTATGCAAACAATGAAATCCAACTGGGATAAGCTGCAGCAGAGCGAAAGGGTAGAAGCGAGCGGAACAGAAGTTGCTTGTCAACATGGACAAAGCTGGATATACATACATATACGCGTCAGTGTGTGCGTGTGTGTGTGTGTGTGTGTGCCAGTTGACAGGTGTGCTTGGCGGTGTGTGTGAGTGTGAGGATGTTGCTGCTTCGATTTGGTTTTCCGGTTGTCAGGCAATTTGCCAACTTACTGCAAAGATCAGCACAAAGTGTAGCCCACACACACACACTCACACACACTCACACACACACACACACTCACACGCAGAAGTGACACATACGCAATGGTGGAGAAGGGGGTGATGGGGGGGCTAGAGAAATCTTGTCGCTTCTTTTTCAGCGATTCATTAATTGAATTGAATTGCATGGCGACTGCATGTGGCATAATTCCACTGCGCGGTCATAAAAAAAATACCTATAATTAATGAGCAAGTAACTTCATTTTCACTTAATACAATCGTTCATTATTTGCAAGGCTTTTGTTTCGGAAAACGATGTGTTTTTTGAGAAACTTTAGGTTCCACTTAAGTTATATTCAGATAACTCAGTTCCAATGATTAAATGCACTGCAATAAAAATACTAGCGATACAAAACAACAGCTAGATGAAACAAAATAAAAGAAAAGCCAAACGGAAATAATTGAAATATATAAAAGGATGCAGGACAGCGGATTAATGCAGCGTTTAACAAAATGGCAGATTGACGACGTCGGAAAAGAGCGAGCGCTACTGAATTTCCAATTTTCCAATTTTCCACTTTTTAACATTTAACCATTTCCCGCCGATTTTCTGCTCGCTTTTTTGTTGTTCTTTTTTTGGTTTTTTTTTTGTTATATATTTCTGTTGTTTTTATTGTCGTACATTTGCCGCCGCCGATGCGCTGATGCCAATGCCAATTTATGAAATTCATTTTTTGCCTACGTTGTGATTATTTATTCAAAAAGTTGGCCTCGGCCAGCGTCTGGTGGCCGCATCCTCCGACTCCTGCAGATATCCTGCAGCCTCGCAGGACTCGCGCAATTGCAATTGTTGCTGGCGAGGTTGGGCGGAGTTTGGTGGGTGGTTGGTTGGGTAAATAAATTAATAACACAATTTATGCATGACGCACATTTATAATTACATTTGGAAATAATTTAATTAAAATTGTTAACGCTTGATTGAAGTTAAATCGAATCGAATCGCATCGAATCGAATCGAACAAGACAGACAGCGAGTGCGAGAGGTCCTTACAAAAGCGACTTAATTAAATTAGCCCATCGATATGGGGGACACGGCATAATATAATAAAATGCCAACAAACTGACCAATTGCCATATCGGCCAACCGAAATCAGTTCGAGGTTCATGTCCCAGTGTCTCCTCCTTTCCTTCGTTTCCGGCACCAAAAAGGACATTCGAAAAGGCTTGTGTGTGTGTGCGGTTGCTCAAATAAACCGATCAGCAGTAACGGTAATTAAAAGCCAACCAAATGACCAAATAAGCCACACCACACCAGCAACAACAACGAGAAAAAAACATAAGGGGGGCAAAAGGGAAAAATGAAAAGGACTGCATGTGATGTGTATGCTGATGGAAATCTTAGAAAAATAATACAACCTAGACGGGCTACGAAAACTGCCACAAAGCCAGAGATACTCTATAAGAAATGAACCACGAATCGGGCTAATAAAATACTTCACTTGCTAACTGATAGTGTTTTCTATAAGATCTTCACAAACTGGGAATAAAACAAGCGGAGTTGAGAGTTGTATAAAAACCAGCTGACATGAAAATGTGAAATCAGAAACCAAAATTCGGGTATAATAAAATGGATTTGTGCCGCGAAGGAGCTTCGATAAACTACAGGGTATTTCTAGGGTAAGCGCTAATAGCTGTTTGAGCATTCGAATTGCAAGACCACAATACACACACACACACACACACACATAGTTAAAAGCAGATAAGGCAAAAGCACACACTCGCATATGTAAGCAGTAAATCAACATGAGAACGCACACACACACATGGAGATACGAATTGAGTGTAAATATGTGTTGGTTATGCCCACAAATCAATTACGTCGATTGGGGCAACATTTTCGGGTGGTAACACACACACACACACACCCGCACACACACACAAGAAAACGGTAAAGAGTTGTTAAGCGTCCAAATGACACATGCAAAAGAGGGGGAAAAGCACTCAAAAGAACCGCGAAGTCGAGTCCTGCAGCCTACAAATGTAGGCAATCCAACAGCGGAACTTCTTTGTAACACTTGCTCATTTACAAGAAGACAAACGCATTAAATTAAACCAATTAGCAAGGCCACTAACCAAACTTTTTAACTTCCGCCCAGTGTTGGTAAATTACTTAACAAACAGTTTGCTGCTGTTAAGTTAAAGTTAAGTTAAAAATATAGTTGCTTTGCTGCTAAAACATATACACCACTCGGTAATGTATACAAATATATTCAAATAAAATATACCACTCTAGAATATACAATATTCAAATAAAATATGACATAAGCCAGGAAAAATACGATTTGTATGATCATGTTTTATGTGCAGGTACCTAAAAAGCCCAAATGCTTAACAGTTCTATCAAATCATGATCATATTTAGGATGTTCAGCTATTTAGTTATCATAATTTAAATTACAAAATGTTGTAACCTGATATTAAACTGATATGAAATCACAATTCAAACACAAGACGCCGTGCAGTTAGTAAATAAAATGAAATTTTACAATGAGGCCCCGCTCAGAATGTAAAATAAGCTTTCATAGTTTATTTAATGTGCGTCTATTGATGGTTTGCAATTTTCCCAATTCCGAATGGCACATAAAACTGATTTTTCGAGTTCAGTTTCCTGAAAACAGGCAGCTTGTCGGCACAGCCAAACGAGCGGAAACGACTGGCAGCGAATCCTTGGCCGAAGGACTCAGGACGCAGGACGAAGGACGAAGGACGAAGTGCGATGAGCGCGGCATGTTGCTTCTGGCTGCCGGGGAGTATAAATACCGGAGACGCACGGCCGTCGGCCATCAGTTCTGCAAACGATTTCAGTTTGGACGCGCGACGCGTTGGTGCTCCTTTTGCTCGTCGTCCTTCGTCCTTGCCACGAAAATCTCGCCACAAATTCAGCTTGTTTGCTGGCTTGTTTGTTTGTTTTTTTTTTTTGGTTGATTGTGCACGTGCAGCCAGGCAATGTTCACCAACTGGCTGACTGGCAGCAGCAGCAGCACGCCGGCAATTCGCTCGACTGCAGCCGGAATCGGTGGAGCCGGCAGTGGGACACCAAGTGGAGTCAGTGCCTCCGCTTTGGTGATGAGCTCGCCGCCGGACGTTATCCTGGAGGTGGGTCCGGCACCCAGCAACGTGCGATTCGTGGCCCACTCCCTGGTGCTGGGCATGCACAGCGGCTACCTGAGATCCGCCATCCGTTTGGACGAGGCCTCTGCCTCCGCAGCTGCCGCCGCATCTGCCGCCGCATCCGCATCCGCAGCGGGCGCAGCAGCCGCCAGCTGCAGCACAGCAGCAACTGCGACAACGGCATCCGGCGAACTTTTGCTGTATCTCAGCAATGTGACGGCCGACCAGTTCGCACCGCTACTAACCTACATGTACACCGGGTATCTGGACCTGACCGTGGACAATATCTTTGCCGTTTTGCTGGCCACCCATGTGCTGCATATGCCAAGGGCGCTGGAAATTTGCCGGTGGGTGTGGCTTCTTTCAGCGGCATATCATATCATATCATATCCTCTCATAAGCTAAAGTTCCCGCGAGATATTCATATATTTATCCGATGGATAAGTTGCAAGTATCCGTGGGCGTATTGAATTGAATATACATGTTTTCTAGCTCATTTTTGGCGCGCGCCCAAACGGAGGGCTACTTGAACGGCAATCCCGCCCAGCTCTGTCCAGTGCCCAGCATTCCCGCCAAGATCATCCGCCCGATACCCAGCAAGGCCACAATGCCGAACTATGGCTTCCTGCCCATGCCACAAGCGCCGCCAAGTGCTGCACCTGCTCATCCCGCAACCGCCGTGGCAGCTCTTAGTTCCTTTGGCGGCAACTCGCACGTGGAGCAGGAGCCCACTGCCGTGCAGGACAACGAGGAGGACGAGGATGTGGAGGTGTTCATCGATAGCAATACGGCGACGGATAACGAAGCCGATCTCGAACCGGACGTGGACATGGACTGCAATGTTTCGGTGGTAAGTTCTCTGGCCGGCAGCAGTGCCGGCAGCCTGAACATCGAGCGCTTGGATGCGAAGCCTCCCACACCCAAACCACCACAAGTGGCTGCTGCTGCTGCCACCGTCATAACCACTGCGCCCAAAAGCCAATCCCAAAGCATCCAAACCAAAAGCCAAGGCACGAGAAAGGAGTCCAACGCAAAGGGAAGCAGGGCGAAGTCCTACGCCTCCAGATCACGAAAGTCCAGTGGCCTGCAGGTGGCCAAGGCGCCGGTGCCGGCTGCCCAGTTGGATCTGGCAGCCGCTGCCACGCCGCTAACACCCTCGAAATTCATCATCGATGTGGCCAGCTGCGATGGACCGGTGCGCTTTCGAAGGATCCTCAACACAGCCTATGGCCACAAGCCCGAGGCCCTGGAATCGGGCTCGTTGGGTGGCGGTGGCGGTGGCGGTGGCGCTGCTCCAGCTGGCGGCAGTGCCTCCTCATCATCCATGGCAGTGGAGCAACACCGCAGCCAGCAGAGCGTGAGCTACTCCTTCCACCAGCAAATGGCCAGAGCCATCAGCAACCAGCAGCGGCAGCTGAGTCACCAGCAGCAGGAGGAGAGCGAGAATAGTGGCGATGCCATGCCAGCAGCCGTGGGCAAGCAGCGCGCAACAGGAGCCACTGCAGCCGCCGCATCAGCGCCAGCTGCATCCTCGTTGGGTGGCAACAGAAAGTCGCAGCCAGCCGCATCCTCCACCGGCCACCAGGAGCTCTACGTCTGCGTCTACTGCAAGCACACCTTCAAGTCACAGTACTGCTATCAGAAGCATGCCAAGCGACACCTGAACCCACTGAGCCTGACCACCACGGACAAGAAGCTGCTGGCGGAGCCCGCAGCCGCAATGGCCAGCTGCTCCGAGTTGCACAGCCCATCGGGCGGTCAGAGTGGTGCAGCCAGTGCAGGCGCAACAGCTGCGGCTGCGGCAGCAGCAGCAACCGCAGCAACGGCAGCAGCTGCAACATCAGCTCTGTTGCGACGAGAGGTGCGACCGCTGGACATGAATGTGCAATATTATCCCTGCAAGACCTGCGGCAGCAAGTTCCCCAGCTACTACTTCGTGCACAAGCATCGCAAGCTGTGCCATGCGGATGAGATCGAGGCGACTGCCACCAGCAACACGAGCAACAATAGCAGCAGCAACACGAGCAGCAGCAGCAGCAGCAGCAACACGAAACGCGAGGATCAGCAGACGCAGCAGCCACATCAACAATCGTAAGATAGTAGTAACCTAAGGCACTGGCAACATCAAAGCAACGAATTACGAATTTATATTACCCATCACACACACAGAATGTTTTTTTTGTCGCTCTAGCAATGCAATTGAATAAATAAAAGTACTTAAAAACAATCAAAACGAGCGAAGCCTGAGAAAATGCTGGCACAAGTGAAAGTGGAAAAGCGCAGAGCTTCGAATTAGATTAAAAACGCTTTTCGAATTAGATCTTGGACTAAATAATGCAGCTGACTGTGAGGAAATCTGCTTTGAACAAAAGTTTAAAATAGGAATGCAGCTTTCAAGTCGATCAGGAAATCATCGACATTATCATTATGCTCCACTTTTTGCAGCCTTTTGAAGCGAAGACTGAAATGCGAGTGGGTGGGGAATACAAAGGTAAACAATTCTTGGCGCAATTTAATAATTAAATGAAATCACTTGCATAATAAAAAAGACGCTTACAAAAAAGACTTTAATTTAATTGAGTTTAATTAACTCGCCAGGGAGATGACAGCCAACAAGGCCGAGCGAAGCGAAGCAAAGCGAAGCGAAGACGATGATGGGTGGGTGATGGTGGGTGATGGTGGGTGGTGGTGGGTGGTGCTGGGTGGCACAAAGTGGGCGGGCGGTGGTGCAAACAAAAACCGCAAGCGGCCGAAAAACCGTTGAGCTGAGCCGCGGAAAACGAGGGAAACGAACGGCAGCGAGACTCGCGGGAAAACCAGCGTACCACCAATTGAGCTACTCCTTCATCCACCCACTTTTCCGCCCGTCAACTCTTTTTGGCCCTGGACTCCGACAACTTGACTTGAGGCTTGTCTTTTTTTTACGTGTATATATATATATATATATATTCTTTTTTGATGAAATATTCATCGAAAACGCTGGCGGAGAAGCAGGCAAACAGAATCGCAGAATCCAGCAGCCAGGAAACGGACATAGAGAACCACTTCTGATTGGATTGAGTGGGTGGTGCTGCTGGTGGGTGCGAGGTGGGTGGCTGGTCTCTGGCCGGTTGGAAAGTTTGATTAAGCGGCACAAAGGAGACTGCACCACACTGCAGTTGTCAATGGCGGGAAATGCATTTTTGATGTGCTCCATTTTTGCGAGGAGTGCGCAATGCATATTAACATACCAATGTAAAGTCAAAATAAACACAAAGGAATAGGTGAAAAGCTTCAACAGGTTAACAGCGAGCTTTTCGCTTCGCAGGACACGCTGCAAAAGCTCCCGTTGAAAACTTTCAAAGGCGAAAAGGGCAAAAAGCTCTAGTAAAATATTGAACCAAATTTCAGTGAAGCTTGCGCACAGGATCAAAGTCCTGCGCTGCTTTTTTTTTGTGTGCTTTTAAGCTAAATAGCTGAAGAAGCTCATGATTCTGAGAAATTCTTCCCTGATTGTTTATAGTTGAAAGTTGACCGAAATATATAATGAAATAGAAGGAAATGACAGCTAAAATATTAGCTGAATCCCCCAGGATCAAAGTCCTGCGAAGCTTTTGGTGTGCTTTCAAGCTAAGTAGCTGAAGATGTTCATGATTCTGAGAAATTCTTTAATTAAATTATATCTAGCCTTCCCAGATTGTTCCCAGTTGAGAATTGAACGAAGTATATAATGAAATTGGAGGAAATGACAGCTAAAATATTAGCTGAATCCCCCAGGATCAAAGTCCTGCGCTGCTTTTTTTGTGTGCTTTTAAGCTAAATAGCTGAAGAAGCTCATGATTCTGAGAAATTCTTCCCTGATTGTTCATAGTTGAAAGTTGACCGAAATATATAATGAAATTGAAGGAAATGACAGCTAAAATATTAGGTTAATCCCCCAGGATCAAAGTCCTGCGAAGCTTTTGTGTGTGCTTTCAAGCTGAAGAAACTCATGATTTTGAGGAACTCTTTAATTAAATGATATCTAGCCATCTTTGATTGTTCCCAATTGAAAATTGAACGAAATATATAATGAAATTGAAGGAATCCCTGAATAGCTGAATCCCCCAGGATCAAAGTCCTGCGCAGTTTGGGTGTGCTTTGAAGCTAAGTAGCTGAAGAAGCTCATGATTCTGAGAAACTCTTTCATTAAAAGATATCTAGCCTTCCCCGATTGTTCCCAGTTGAAAATTGAACGAAGTATATAATGAAACTGATTACCTTTAGCTAAAATATTAGCTGAATCCCCCGAAATAAAGTAGATAAATAGATAGATAGATAGTTATCGGCACTTACCTATGCCATCGGAGAAGATAAGATCGATTGCATTGGACACAAACGAGTGGTGGCTGCCATCCGCCAGTAGGGGCAACGAGATCGCCGAAGCTGTGGCCGTTGTGGTCGCCGTGGCCGTGGACGAGGACGAGGACGTTGGCCCCGATGCCGTGGACATGACGGACGCGGCACTGATCAGCAGCATGGAGGAGGCGGATGACGCCGGGGAGGCCGGTGGCGTGTATGCGACGGCAGCGGATGTCGACGACGTGGACGGCATCGAAGCCTTGGCCATCGATGCATCCTTGGCACTGGCCTTCTGGCCGTGACTGTTGCTGATGCTCATGCTGCCACTGGCGCTGCTATTGGCCATAGCTGCCGCCGCGTTTCCTGCTGCCTCAGCCGCATTCAGCTCGAAGCGTTTCCTCTTGGATTCACTGCAGCGGAATCGATAGAGATAGCAATAGTTAGTGATGCCAGTACACACTTCAAAGGACAAACAAACGCTCACCTAACATCCGAGTGCAACTCATTGCCAGCGCCCAGTCCCTCAACTTGGGCAGCCTTCAGTTTCTGGCCAAGATAGTTACCCGCCGTGGTGGCGGTGTGGCCATACGTGTTCACTCCAGCGCCACTCTCACTGGCCGCCGCCGGCGAGGACGTCGAATTGGGCGCCCTCGATGACGGCGTCGTCTTCCCGCCAGCAATCGTCAGCATCGTCGTGAGCACCGCGTTCGCCGCTGATCCCGACCCAGCTGCTGCTCCACCGGCCGCAGTATCATCGCCGCCCGTGGACGCCTTCACATTGGCCATGACCACGGTCTGGTAGCCTGGCTTAAAGCCATTCAGGGTCACGCCCTGCGCCGGTGCGGAGGCGGTCGTCGCATTGCTGCTGGTAGCTGAAAAATGGAGGATGGCTATAGTTAGTGAGACTTCATTCGCATGGCACTCCAAGTGGAACGGGATAGGGGTACTCCCTTGCCTATGTGCCCAGCGCTTGCCTGGCAATTGCACAGCTGAGGATTACCCCTAGCCATTACCAGTGCACCAGTGGACCCACCATTGTAGCCCTCGGCATGGAGAGCCTTCGAAGCAGTTTTCGCCAGCGGATCGTTGGCATCCGGCCGGGAGTCCGCTCCCTTGGCAGCCGTTCCCGCTGGCTCCGTCGCAGTTTCTGGTTTGCCCACGCCCTTGGCGGCAGCTGTTGCGGTGGCGCCCGTCGCCGTGGTCGCCTCTCCTGCGCTGGCTGCACTCGCTCCGGTTGCCGGTGTGCCGGCAGTGGCCACGGTTGCTGCTCCGGCAGTGGCAGCTGCCTCCTCCTCGGCGGTTTTGCTCTTCGCCTCGCCGCCCGCTGAGATCTCTGGTGGTGGTGCTGCAGCGGCTGCTGCTGCAGCTGCGCTTGCTGCTGCCGGAGTTCCTGCTGCTGTGGATCCTCCAGTTGCTGCCGCATTCTTGTCGCTGGCGCTCGCCGGCTTGCCTGCATCCGTTTTATCGGCGGCTGTGCCGCCCGATGTCGCTGCACTTGCCGCTGTCGATGTGGATGTTGTTGTTGATGCTGATGCTGATGAAGATGTGGCTGTGGTGGCTGCTGCCGCCGCCGCAGCGGCAGCCGCCTTGGCCACCTTCTCGCCGGCAGCCGTCGCCTCGACAGCCTTGGTGGCGGCGCTCGCCTTCTCGGCAGCGCTTTCCGCCGCCTTGGCGGCATCCGCAGCCGCCTTCTCCGCCACACGCTCCCGCTCGGCGGCCCGCTCCGCGCGCTCACGCTCGGCGACGGCGGATGAGCGACCGCCGGACTTTTGCTGCTGCTCCCGCTGCAGGCGGGTCATCACGCCCGTGGTCATCGAATCGATGATGCACTGCGGCTGGGCGGCCTGAGCCTTGGCTGGATTACGCGAGCTGCGCGTCCGCTGGCGGGACTTTCGCAGCAGCTGCTTGTAGTTCTCGGTCTTCTTGCTGAGGTAGTAGTAGCGAACGCAATCCTGGGGCGATTTGCGATCCAAGCTGGCGGCTATGGCCCCAAAGTTCTTCGGATGCTGCAGATACTTCTCCTTGAAGGTCTCCTTCTCGCCGGCGGTCCACATGTTGACGGCCTTACGCTGCTGATGAACTGCCACCATGTCCTCGATAAGTCCGTTCTCGTTGTGATAGGCGCATCGCCTCTGGCGGGCATCGTGCATTAGAGGCGGTATGACCGCATAGGAGCGCATCTTCTTGTCCTCCAGCGCCTGCTCCTGCAGGCCGTCCATGATCTCTTCGAGATCCGCTTCGGATTTAATCCGAGAACCGACGCGATTGAAGCGCTCCTTGTCCTCGCGCTGTTTCCGCAGCTCCGTGAAGACCTTCTCGAAGAACTCGCGATTCTTGGCCTCGCGCGCTTTTCGCTTGGCGCTGGCCTCCATTCGCTCGCATCGTCGCTGCCAATCCGCCTGCTCCTTGGTGTACTTCTCCACCAGGCCCTGATTGTGCACCCAGCGCTCGGCCTTCAGTTTCCGGATGTGCAGCAGCAGGGGCGCCCGGATCAGACTCTGATGCTGGCGTATCAGCATGGTGAGGGCCTCCACATCGAGTGGCTGGTTGTACAGCGGCAGCCAGGGTCTGCCTGCCATGGAGCCGGGTGAGTACTCCTCGGCCGCTGCATTCTGTAGCATGGAATGTTGCGCTTGGGCCGTCTTCCGATTGGCCGCGTAGATCTTCTCCGCCAGCATTTGACTGCGCCAGGATAGCTCCACCACCTGCTCCTGGTCGTTGTTGTTATCGTTCACCTCCTTGGCGGCCCTCTCCTTCTTGGCCATGGCGGCCTTCTCCATGAGCGACTTCTCCTTCTTGCGCAGCGTTTCCATTGTCGTCTCCGCGGACTTGATCTCATTGTCCACCTTCTGGATCTGCATCAGCAGGTCCTCCTTGGCGCTGGTCCTGCCCCGCTCCTCCATCGAACTATCGCTGGGCAGCGTTGGCGAAATGGCCTCCACCTGATGGGCATTAAACATGTTAATTGCTGTGATATTCCTCTGGCCAGACATGGAAAGAGCTCTGCCTGAATCAAGTGTTCGCAATACTCTCACTGCTGCTGCCCATCACTCCTATCTTATATAAGCTTGTGCTGCATGCAACGACAACCAGAAACCAAATAGAAAACTAGTCCCAACCCCGAAACCCTGAGGTATGCAACCCCCATGCCTCAGGGTCACTCCGATCCTGTGTTTCTGATTCTAAAAGTGCGTTTGGAAAGGGAAGACGCCTCAAAACGAGTTCTTCTGCTGCCACATTTTGCGGGAATATTTGCGAAAGTTGATTCAGGCACAGCTCTTCCTGTCGTGACAACGACTCACCTGCGGATGGTAGGCCTCGGTGCTGGCGGAGCCCGTGTTTCCCGAGCCCGGTCCGGCGGCCACATTGCCACTGCTGCCGCTGTGGCTCGCCGCTGATCCCGCCGTGGAGACGGTGACTGTGCCCACTGGCTGGCTCACCGCGGAGGACGTGCTGCTCACCACTGGCTGAGATCGGCCCTGGGACTGCGAGCCATGTTGCTGCTGCATCTGTTGCTGGTGCTGCTGCTGGGGCAGGGTCTCCACCTTGAGCTGCATGCCCATGGGCGTGGTGACCACTTGGCGGCACATGTCATTGTGGCTCTGCCGACTGCTGTTCATCTGCTGCTGCTGCTGCTGCTGCTGCTGCACTTGAGCTGGCGAGGATCGCTGGTGCTGCTGGTGTGCCGGATGCTGCTGCTGCTGGTGTTGCTGCTGCTGCTGCTGCTGCTGCGGGTGTGGTGGCAGGTGATTCATGTTGCTGGCATTGGCCTCACTAAGCCGCTGCTTCTTGTACGGCTGCTGGCCGCCAAAGGGCTCGGGCGGATGTTGCTGCTGCTGGAGCTGCAAATGCTGTCGCTGGTTGACCATCGCCGCAGCAACGACCGCTGTGGCGTTGGTCATGTACTCGCTGGTGTATTGGAGAGCCTGTGGATGGGGCATCAGGATGCGCCCCAGACTCCCGACCATTACGCCGCTGCCACCGCCGCCTCCGCCGCTGCCAGCACCAGATGTTGCACCCGCGCCACTGGGATTGCCGCCTTGCTGCTGCTGCTGCTGTTGCTGCTGCTGCTGCTGTTGCTGTTGCTGCTGCTGCTGGGAGGGATTACTATTTGGTTGACTGGCATAGTGGGGCATGGCCTCCATGACCAGCACTCCGCCGGACTGCGATACCTGGACGACACCGCCGCCGGGTGGAGCTGATCCGCCGGCACTTGCCCCAGCTCCACCTCCACCACCACCTCCTCCTCCGCCTGCGCTGCTGCCGCTGCTATTGGAACTTTGGCCAGAAACGCTGCTTTTGCCCGCCGACACCACCGCCACAGCATAGGGATTATGTCGGTAGAGGGGCGCCGGGGCAATGCTGTAGCCCGTGTTCTGGATGAAACGATGCTGCGGGGGCGGTGGCGGGTAGCCGGAGTTGACGGCCGCCGCCGCAGCTGCTGCTGCTGCTGCTGCTGCGGATGATGGCGGGTAACCGGGATTGACGGCCGCCGCAGCTGATGCCGCTGCTGCCGCTGCTGCACTAGTGCTGTTGCTGCTGCCACCGCTGTTTCCGCTGCCAGAATTTCCAGGACGAGGTGGTGAAAATGGTTGCTGCATATGCTGCTGCTGCTGCTGCTGTTTCTGTTGCTGCTGCTGCTGCTGCTGCTGCTGTTGCTGCTGCTGCTGTTGCTGCTGCTGCTGTTGGTGGTGGTGATGGATTTGCTGATGCAGGTTGTTGCGCTGGTCCAGCTGCTGCTGCTGCTGCTGCTGCTGCAGGTGCGCCACCTGCTTGGCATACTGCGGCAGCTGCTCGAGGGCCCTGTACGACCAGTGGGGGCGAAAGGAGAGGAACACAGCAGATTATTAAATTATTGTCCAAATGGGGCATGCAACGAAGGAAGGAAACGAATTTCTCACTGCTTGCAGTGGCCATAAATAATTCCTAAACTCTATGTACCTCGTTAATCAATAAACGCTATCAATAGTTGTAAATGACTCGCTAACCTACTAAAACCTAATGATCGCGTGAGGCATTAGCTCTTGACACCTGTCTGCCAAGCGTAGAGCAAACTGGCCTAATATCAGCCACAAAAACGAGTTCTAGGCAGTTCTAGGAACTATATCTATGCACATATGTATCTATGTATCTACGTATCTACGCGCAAATGTAGCTAATCCAGCGACTTGGTGCCGTGCTAGTGGTGCGAGGACTTGGACAAGCTCTCAATTATGAACTGCGATCTGCAATTGCGTTCTGCGTTTGCGGGCAAACGAGAAATGCTGATATAAATGGCACCAACTAAGGCTTGACCCGGTTTTCGCGGCAATCAAAGATAATCGCATGATCATCGCATCATATAATTTAGCATATGTATCTGCATAATGCACAGGCACAGCACAAATATATACATAGGCTAATATATTACAAGTGTAATTTAAAATGGCGGGCACCGATCTAACGGTGCATTTGCGCTTAATGTTATTACTTTTGTTATTGCGGCACCCCGGCCGGCATCGAGCCAGTGCGAGCGAGAGCGCTGATGTGTGATGCGGCCGTCTCTTTCGTTTTCGTGTTTCTGCGCCATGTGCTGGCGAACATCGCACGCCGAACAGCGCACACCGAACATCGCACGCCGAACATCGCACATAGAACATCGAACGGCGAACATAAAACATCCAACTTGTTTGATGTTGGCGGTCAGCCATGTGGGCAGCGAACGGCAGCCGCGTCGACAGAGGCAGAGCGACGCCGGCAGAGGCAGCGATCGAACCGATTTGTTCGCGCTGCCATTTGCACAGTGGTGGCGCAAATATTGGCCAACCGCCGCATGTGTTTTGACTTGTTTTTGGCTGCCAAATTTCTTTTAATTTAATAGCAAAACTAACAGTTCGCCATGTTTTTCGATTGCACACCGATTACAGGCCTACCAACACAGTGCTTTCCATTTCGATAGTTATCACCATAACATATTGGGCTTTAGCAACCAACTAACTGTTTGCAAATTTGTATTTACTTACTACGGCTTTTGAAACCGTTTCTGTGTTACTCGCCCTTTCAAATTTATTTTTCATTTTGCCACATTTACCAAGTTAGGCAGACAAATGCATTTTGCGTGTTTTTCGCTTGTTGTGTGCATTTTTAATCAAATTTATTATTATCACTGTGAGATTTGTGATTTTGTGATTAACGTGCGACGCGTTTGACCCGACGCCCCTCCCGCTGCCGCCTCTGCCGACGGCGACGCCGACGCATTGTCGCGACCTCATGCATCAACGTCACTCACAAACACACACACACACACACACCGACTGGCAAACAAAGTTGCACAGCAACAACCACAGGCTCGTTTATTAATTCATTAAATATTAAAAGCGGTGCGAGAGGCGAGTGCGAAAGAGATGGCCTGCGACCATCGAGCAACGTTGCCAAACTTCACCGTGAACCATTCTTTTATTTATGTTTCTTGTTTTTTTTTTTTTTTTCGTTTTTAGAAAAACATCAAATTCAAGGCTTTTGTCCACAGTCCAGCTCGCTTTTGAAATAAAACAAGAAAAGCTCAGACAATGATGTAGCGCAATCATCAATCATGAATGACGACGAACCATGCGAAATCGCAGAGTTGAAAATCACTTCAAATGCAGAAAACTCATTTATGCTTATACTACAGATGTACGTACAGATTCATGTTACTTGTTATATACCAACATTATATCTTTGTGTTTGCTTCATGTATGTTTATACGTGATTTTTGCATTATTATTTATATTAGTTATTGTTCGCTTAGATTGTTCTTGAAAATATTATTTGTTATATCAATTATTGCACAAGTTAATCTTTATATTTTTAATTATTGAAAAGTTATTTTACAACTATTTATTTTGTTATCATTTCTAAAATGTCATTTTGCAGTTTGTTCCATGAACTCTTGATAATTTTGTAACAATTTTACATATATTTATTTAGTTCGTGTACCAAGTTCTTAAATACAATTTTATATCAGCCAAAAAGCTCTATAAACCGTGAGTAAACTTTGACCTTTTCGTTTTACGTCGAAGCTTTTCGCGTATTCCTTCCCTCCAAATCCATTATTTGTGAATTTCTTTTGACCTTGCCTATGATATGTTCTTTCTTATTATAATTCCATTATGCTTTTATACTCTTTCTAATGTGTGTATCTTTTTCAAATAAGAATTATCTCCAGAATTATCTACAGACTCGCTATATATCATTTTATTTTAACATTTTTAATTATTTATTTGCAAAGACCTTTGCCTTTGTTTCTGTTAAATATTTAACACGTGTTATTTGTTCCTGCCTTATTATATTCAATTCCTTCCTTCGCAAAAATGCAAAATCGTTGGCTTATTGTTATTTTTGCTTTAAATTCGCTGCTGGTTTACATGTTCGTTGGGATGTTTTACCTGAAAATAAAAGAGAAAACGAAAAATTAGCAATTGCTATACACATATGGATATTGTATGTAAATATGCAAGGCGCAGAAGAATTGCATACAATTTGCATTTGAGTTTGTTGTTGGCGAGATAAAGTACCGAATTACCATTTTTATTTTGGTTGCATAACTTAAGCGTTTTTGCAGCCCTAAAAGAGTGCAAATCGAGATAAGACTGCGACTGCTAACGCTTAAAATATGGTAAACTAACAATGATGTTATTATCTAAAAACCAAGTCAAATATTTGATATGCTCATATTACCTCGAATGAATGGATGCATTTCCATTGTTCATACATACAATATTACTTGCATATCTTATAACATTTATCTAAGTACTCCATTACCCAACTTTTAGTGAGTGCCACGCCCACGACAGGAATTACACTTTAATGGGGCGGCTGAGGGGGGAAAAACAAGCAGAGAAAAAGAGGACAAAAGGGAAATGGAAAATCTAAACTCGAGTCAATGGAAAAGCTCCGGCTAATAAGCTCTCCTTTTCAAGTTTCCTTCTTTTAGTTTCTTCTCGCTTAGCATTTTCTTCGCTTATTCCTTCTTAAACATTTCCCTCGTGCTGCTCTTCGGTTTCCACATTAAAGTTTCATCAAACAAAAAGGAAAATAATTAAAAGCCGCACACCGCTTTGTTTTCGTTTGAAAAAGTTTGAAAACAAGCGGCAGCCAGAAAGAGATGGCCAGCATTTAAGAACAGAGATGGGGATATGTGGGCGAATGAGAGGGCATGCACACATGCACCGTTATCCGTTATCCGCTATGTGCTCAGTAAGTCAATGTGTGTGTGCGTGTGTGTGTACACAACACATTTTCTCCATATGTTTTGTGCACACATGTGTGTGTTGGTGTGCAGCATCCATAACCGTTCTCCCCACCACCCCCCACCACCCCCTTTGCCATTTCTTCTTCTTTCAGCCACGCCTTGTGGCTGTGTCCACACATACATATGCATGCATGTATGTTCATGTATGTACATGTAATCCATATGTGCTACACATGCATACATATATGCATAAGTACATACACACAGCGAAATAAGAAGAATCCAGGCAAATATTAGAGTAAAACTAGCAGAAAAACCGAAAAGATGGAGCATAAAACAGGGAACACAAACCAAGCAAAAAAAACAAAAAATGGCGGAATATAAAACCACAAAATAAAAAAAAAGAAAACACGAATATAAAAGGGAAGGCGCAAATTCTTCTATGCAAAAAATAAAAGGAGAGCGAAACAAGAAGAAGCAGTGGCAGCAGAAAAATGGCGTACACTGTCAAAAAGGCAGCATGCGAAGTATTTCTAAACAGCCAATATTATTCCCATCTATTACTATCCAATCGATGTGATTCAAGTACTGCATTATTGTTTATTATTAAACGTGCATTACAAGGAGATCTTTCCATTGCTTGCAATAACTAATTTTACAAATATCCATGAATTTGTCAAAGTGTACGCACAACAAATAGCTGTCTGCTATAGCCTCCCCATTTTTCTGAAACTTTCCCGCCCAATTTTCCGATCCCTTTTGCCCCAACTGCAGCACACAGTGTGCAGGCCAACAGAAAAACAAAACTTTTTTTTGTATTTTCTTTTTTTTTGTTTTTGCCCGTTATTGATTTTTTGCGGGCGGCTGAAAATGCAGAAAAATGGGGTGGTGGGGAATCTGTATGTGCGGGGGGTAGGTTAGGGGTGTGGGAGGGGGGGAGGCGATGACAGCCTTGTTACGAATTCCCCAAAGAGGTGGACTGCAGGGGGTGGCGAGGGGGAAAAAGTTGCTGGTTGGAAAAGCCAGCCGTATTTTGTATGTTGATTATTATTCTTGGCTCCAGTTTTCCTCCCCGCGCCCCGCATCCTGTTATTTTTCGCCTGCTTTTCGTATAAATGGAGAAATGCATTTCGCCCATTTTTCGCCACCATATTTCCCACGGTGTTTGCGCCAACCACATGCTTTTCATTTCTGTTGCCTGCTTTTAGGCGCTAAACTTTACACAGCTGCTAGAGCGAGATAGCTGCAACTTTAAAACGTCCTTTTGCTATCTGTGTCTCTGTTCTTCGTCCCCTGCTTCCACTCTCTTTTTCGTATCCTTCCTTCATCCTTTTCCGTCTGTCTGCGTGCCATTAAATTCGTTGGAAATTTAATTTGTGCTCGAGACAAGAAAAGCCACGCAAACAGATACAAAAGCGAGAAGAGTGAGATGGGGCGAGTGCCAGAGAGAGATGCAAGGATGGAGAGAGAGAGAGAGAGAGAGCTGGCGACACAGCGGGCGAGATGGAGCTAAATGAGTGGGAGGGAGGGAGATGGAGAGACCACGAATTGGATCAGCTGTTCTTTGAGCCAGAAGCCAACATAAAACGATGGATGTTGGACGACTTTAA